TATATATAAAAATAAAAAATAAACATAATTGCTATTGTAGAGTGTTTGATTTTTGGCCAATAGAATTGACTGCCTGTGTAATGTGACTTGGCATGCCTTTTGCTTTTTGGCATGCCCTAGGGGCATGCCCATGCCCTGTGCCCCCAACCCTAATTAAGACCACTGATCGTATATGAATTCTTCAAGGGATAAAGTTTTATTTACAGGTTTTCCCTCTCGGGCACCCATACCATAAACATGCTATAATTTTTTATACAAAGTACAAATTAGATATTCAACCTTACACATAAAAAATACTAAAATTATTTTTTAATTTTTTGTTTTATAAATATATTAAAATCATAATCATCAAAGCATATAGAAATATGTGTCTTCCACTTTGAATAATCATTCTATTAATTTTATTAGTTATAAAAATAAATATATTAAAAATTAAAATAAATTTGTTACTAATAGTTACAATTTTATACAGTATTAATAAAAATACAAATTTAAATGGATATTATATCTAATTTTGTCTCACGCGGAGGAGTTACCGCTAGTAAAAAAAAAAAATTGAATTTTATTTGCAAAAGGTCTTTATTTAGAAAACTTTAAAAATTTCTGTGTAATAGTTAATTGTCTGGTGATCACGATAATTTGAAAAAAACGACGAATTTTCGGATCACGTGATGATCGACAGCAAATTTATCCAATGGGAAATCGGAATTAAGTGTAACGTAACACGATCAGGAAAGTCCAAAACTACATAAGAATTCGCCTTTTATGCTTTAGTTTTCCAAACTTTAAATACGGCACTAACCCTAACTTTGTTCTTATCACGTGACCCGAAAATTTCGTGGCCGCCCTGGTGGATTCTAAATATTTACAGTAAGTTGTTAGAGTTTATGAATATTTTTCAATTTTATTTGTATTTATTAATATGTAAATATAAAGAACATTTAATATTTATAATTTATTCGCAAATATGCGTATTGTAACAAGATAACAAAAATAAAGTTATTTGAAGATAAAGACATGATGATTACATAAAAAGATCTTAGAACTTATAAATATGTGATCAAATAGATACTATACAAATCTTGATTATCTCCAAATTGGGATTGTTTGATCTTTGTTGGCCTATAATATAGATTATGACTTTATGACCCACTATAGCTTATAAAATTTATAACCACATTAGTCATATAAAGGAACGGCATTCATGTGCTAACCGTTATTCAACACCAGTCATATGAAAATCCGTGTAACATGTAGATCCAAATAATTTTTATCAAAACAAAAATTAAATTTTGATTAATATTAGAGTTAGGATTGAGTCTTGGGATGGGGCATGACTATAAATTATACCAAAATTTTGCAAGAAATTTTTTTTGTTAGAGCCCCAAAGGTAGTTTCATAGATGAATTTTTGAGTTATACCCATTTTTTAAAAATTTTTGTGTTACACCTGATCTTTACGTTACATTGCAGCTCATAGCAAAAATTATACGTAGTGTTGAACACCAGTGGTGTGATTTAACAATGCCGGTTATTTTTCAATAAATGTATACTAATACAGTACATACAGTACATGATCTGCAAATCGGTAAGATATAAAAAGCGCACAAACTAATATCCAGTCCTAAATTCCAAATCCTAAAAGTTTTTTCCATCGAGTATACTAATAAATATTTAATGTCACCCTTAAAAAAAAAAAATAAATAAATAAACATTTAATGTAAATATTTAACGTACGTACGTACTTATTCTATACCTTAAGCTTGGTGTGCTTTTTTGAACTCTATTAAAACACAAGAACAGTCTACAGTCCGAATATAATCAATCTAGGAAAGATTTCCTGAAAATAAAATATGCAAACATCAACTATAAAAGATCGGGTTAAAGTCGCTTTTGAGCAAACGTACATTAAGTTTTTTGAGTATAGTTCTTTTGACATCATAAAAGTAATTGGTAAGGGAGGATTTGGTACTGTATTTAGTGCTTACTCGAGAGATACAGAAAAAACTGTTGCCTTGAAGAGTTTATATGCTGATTGTTTTTATGAGAGTTCAATTGATGATGTATTTGTTAGAGAGGTATAGACTATTTATCATGATTTACATTGATTATGCTGCTCAATATGCTGAATGTTACCATATTTATTGTAAGGTCAAAAACATTACAAAAATTAATTATCACGATAATATCATACGATTTTTTGGAATTACTCAAGGTATTTTAATTTTATACAATAGAAAAATAAACATTAATTTCTAATGAT